CACTTTAGCCTCCTGAGTCACTGGGATTACAGGTGCCAGCCACCATGTGTGGCTCTCTCTGTTCTGATGAGCAAAAAGGATTCTTATAATAACAGCTTAAAAATCTAGTCCCAAAAGTACAAAATAAAAAAAAAACATCACATTTCTGAGACATCTCCTCTTTAGTGAATCTTCTCTGGACCTTCCCTGGTACTTATCCCTGTTTTACCTCACAGCCCTACCTTTTAGAGCTTGTGCCACACTGTTCTGCAATGCTGTTTGAACGCCCTTCTCCCTCGTGTAACTGCATGCAAAGGCGGGGGTTGGAGTGGAGTTTCAATCCGTATTTATATCGTTAGATACTACAACAGCGCTTGGCACCCAGTATGGGTTCACTGAACACTTTGCCAATGAAGAAGAGAAAATATCACACACGAATATTCCTGAGCTGCCTCTGCTTATTCTGGTGTGATTGGATTCTCACTCCAGCAAAGGGAGGAGTGTGGGTGAGTGTTGCTATGTTTCTCTTTTCCTCCATGGAAAGAAGTAGTTCAGTTACCAGTGTCATGGAGAGAGCAGCCTTGCTCCCTGAGAAGCAGCGGGGAGAAAAGGGATCTGCTTTTGCTATGCTATCTGCCAGGTGAAAGGTCAGGAGGCCCTGAAAAAAACGAGTTTATGAAGAAGGCTGACCACCCACCTATCTATCCATCTCATCATCCATCCATCCTTCCAACTTGCCACCTGCCCATCCATGCAGCTAGCCAATTCTCATTCACCAGATGTTTATCGAGCATGTGCTATGCTCTCACTAGGGAGACAGCAGTAAACAGTGTAAACAAAGCAGACCCCAGATAAATTGGGGCTGATGTCCTAGCTCAGCCACTTAACTGTCACCTTGGGAAAATTACTGCTGTCTTTGAGCTGTTTTCTTCATCTGCATATCGGGAATTCTAATCTCTACAGTGAAAAGAGTTGGAAAAAATTCTGTACATATATGGAAAACACTTAGCACAGCAGCAAGGCCATAGTAGGTGCTCCGCAAACAGTAGGTTTGGCAGTTCTGTACCTCCCCAAAGACCCCTGCCTCCCACCCTGCTGCCACACAGGACAGCATTTCTGCGTAATCTTCATGCAAGGCGCAACAAGGACCTCTAGAGCAACGTTCGTCTGGAGGTGGAGCTGACGCCTGACGAGCGCTGGCGGCATGTCTTAGGCTTACCGGTCCTTGAAGAACAGGAGCTCCTTCCCCAGCATTGTCACAGCATCAAAGGATGTGCTGGAGTCACAGAGGTCGGGGGTGGACGGCTTATGAGGGGGGCCATGGGGCATAGAGGGATTTCCCAGGAATGGTTTCCGAGGTCCTAGGATTCAAAGTGACTTGGTCAAAATGGTGACAGGAACTTGGGACTTTGTACACTTCTGTTCTAGAGACCCAGGGGAGCTTGCACACTTTCGCTCTATGTGTGACCGTGAGCACGGTTGTTGAGGGCAGGTAGACCTGAGTTTGAATCTGGGCTTCTCCAGTGACTGAGCTGTGTGATCTGAAGCCAATAGTTTAACTTTTTTAAACCTCAGCTTTCTCAATGGTGAAAAAGGAGGGCTGATAATAGTACCTATCTCAGAAGGTTCTTGCGAGAATTAAATAATGCCTGTAAAGTACTTAGTAGAGTACTTGGCACACAGTAAGTGTGCAAAAATGGTCACTATTATTTTATTGTTATACATAACTTCTTTGAGAACTATAGGTGTTCCAAATTAGAAATGTAATTTAAAGATTGCCATGAATTATTTCTTTGTAATTAAGTTGTTTTTTCTCAATAAGATTACACCATTCCTGTGTGTTTTCCTATTATTTTCGTATACTCCTTGGCATCCTGCTCTGTACTTAAGCCTAGGCACGCAGGAAAGATGGAGTGAATTCTTGTGGAATTGGAGGACACTGAGGGTGTTTGCTGTTTGAGGTTTTTTCTGGTGGATCCTCTTGCAAAACAGGTACCTGCTCTTTGAGAGAGCTGTCGGTGAGTTTTCATCTCCCACCCGGCAACTCTGAGGACAGCGCCAGCCACAGAAGAGAGAGGCTGCGCTGCCTGGACCATTGCCCTGGCAGGGCCCTGCTCTTTGATGAAGCCTGTGGTGCGCGGAGGTGAGATTCAGGGAAGGAGCGAGACACAGGAAGGAAAAGGCTCAGGGCCTGACAAGGGTCCAGGTGGTTTGAGAGCACGGATGGAGCAGGGGTAGCAATGTGGGCAGGATCCAAGGTGGAGTGAGGCTTCCAGAGAAGATCAGAAACTGGAAATTGGTCAGATCAGAGCTGCGAAGAGGGTCAGGAGTGGCAAGGTGGTCTGGGGTTGATGACGTGTTTGCTCCCTGGCAACATAAACCCGCGTTTCACATTTCATTCACCTGTGTATTAATTGCCATGGCAGAACACGTGCTTTGGCTCCTGGCCAAGTGACAGTGGCCATCGGAATGGCGGTGACCTTCCAGGCCACAATAGATTTGAAATGGATATAGGTTTTCTAATAATCTCTTATTACTTTTTGAAAGGATGGTAGCACTTGAGGTAATTGTGAATGTCTGAGGATACTATTGTCTTTGAGCCTCAGCTTCCTCAGCTCCCCAAGTGAGGAAAACTCTTCACACCCCACAGACTCATGCGAGACGACATATGCAAACATGTTTTGTAAACTGCAGACTGTGCATGGCTGAGTGGAGTTATTATCATCACTGTTGCTATTTTTAGGGAGATAAGGTCACTGATCTGCAAATGAGTGAGCACCATGTAGGTGAATGATAAAATCTATCCATCCTCTCCCAGAGTGTAAACAGACAAAAGACTGGACTTTCTATGGCTATCCAAGGACCATACGCTCTGAAGGAAAGATGTAAAATTTAATCACACATCTTAGAGAAGAAAGCAATATTCGTAACTGGCAAATAAAGTCTTTACAAGAAGGCATAGTTGGGGCTGTGGTTTCTAGTTTAGTCTTTACCTATGCAGGCAAAATGCACTTTCTTTAAGTGGGAGACTGAATGCCTGTCACTCTCAGGGTTAGTGGTCAAAGAAGTGTAATGATCATACCATACAGTGCCTGGATGCCTTTCACGTCATCGCTGGGGAGGTGGAACCCGTAGGGATTCTGGTACTTATAAGTCGGGTACATCAGTGCTGATGGGTCCGTGGAATGGGCCAGGCCCAGTGCATGGCCAAACTCATGAGCAGCAACGGTAAATAAATTAAAACCTAAACAATATAAGAGAGAAAAAGACAGCATCAACATGGGTTTTTGTTTTCTCCATCTTCTGTCTTTACAGGAAAATTTATGCCCAAATCACAATTAACTCATCTCCTTTTCATAACTAGATTATTCAAAGGTTGGTAGTTTATTCTGGTACTTAGCTTTGCTGACTCTGGTCCAGTTCTTTTCCCTTTGGCTAGAAGGGGGTTAGGGATCAGGGAGGATGGAAATATAAATCAATCTATTTTGCTCATTGTCAGTGGTGTTTGGTAGCTTGATTAAGAAGGGCCTTGGAGTGAATAATGGCAATGATATTTGGCTTATAACACAGAGATTTCGACCACAAATGCCTTAACAGTTCCCTGCCGTTACAGCCTCCTCCTTTTTATCCACACACATTTCACACTGAAGATTTCCAATGGCCTTCATGATATTCTGGAAGCTTTATACCCATCCCCACCACACTTCTCGGGAGAGTACTGATTTCCCAGATCATTTCTGAATGTAGCCTGTTTCCAAGTACAAGTGAGAAACCACACATACTATGAAGGAAAAGAGAGCTGTGTGTTGAGGAGGAGGTTGCTGGTTCTTGAGATTATATGCTATGAAACAGATCAGACACGTCTACAACACAACTGAGGGTGGATCTTTTCCCTTATGGTGTTCCCTTTTGGATTTTTGGCTTACTTGTTTTTCCTAGCCAGCCCCCCTAGTTAAAGGGTGGCTTGGGACGTTGAACCTCAAGGTTTCATGGTGGAGGCCCAGAAGAAGGTACAATATTTTCCAGGTTATGGTGAATTGTGCATATATACCATTCATTCCCAAAGTCCACTTCTCAGCATTGTCGAAATGTGTATCTCCTCCCAGGCCTTCTCCAGGGGCAAATGCATGGGCTAGAGTCCCTCGAGGCCCATCGAATGGGTAGGAATCCCCGTGATCTAAACAAGTGGGGAGAAAGACCAACAGAATTGAGTCCTAGCAATTTTGATGGGCACATAACATTACAGAAAATAAACAACATTTTGAATAGCACCAACACTTAAATTTATTTTTCAATATTCATTTTTTAATAAGAAGAAATTCATGTGTCAATAGGTAACTGCCTATTGAAAAATAAAAAGGGCTATTTTATACTGCAGAGATAGTGTTAAAAATAAAAAAACCTTTTATGGTTACTGTTTTTATTTTGACGTCTGTTAACTGACACAAAGCATACTGTGGACTTTGCACATGCCATAGATTCCAAAAGGAGAAAGAACAGAGGGGCATTGGATAGCAAACTAGTCCACTGCTTGGCAGGTGAACCTATTGTCAGAGTGAGCTTTTGAAATAGGATTCAGCCGAGACGGTGGTAGTACCTTGAACAAGTGTGTGCTTTCTGTTTCTATAGCACAGTACAGGGCAATTTAAGGAAGTGTCAAAAGAAACCCAAAATTTCTCTATAATTTTGATATGCTTTCATGTGTAAAACCCATGAGAGTAATAAAGGTGTTTATAAAATCCTAACTTTCAAAACTTTGTGTTTTTGTTTTATTATCTATTTTAATTAACAGTTCATTACAAATGTAATAGAAAAGGAGGAAGAACAAAATGAAGCATGTAGAAAAAGCTACATTTTACAATTTTTTAGAATCTTAGAGAGGATAACTTGTTTTTGTTTTTAAAACCCAACCAAAGTTCCGGTAAGCTATTTCTCAGGTTTCAGTGCAATGCTGTTTAAGCAGGTTGTGTGCCTGGAGGACTGGATGCAATGGCAGCACAGTCCCTAGTCAGCCTGTGCGTTGGGGGACAGGACACCAGTTTGAAAGATGAAGAGAGAGCCAGACATTGACTCCAGGGCCCCCAAAGCTGCCCTGAGTCACACTGCTCTGCCACCTCACCAGGGTGGCCTTGGTCCTCTGGGAGAAACAGGACCTGCCAAGGGCCAGGCTGCATACCCAAGGCTTGATCTTTTCTCTCCTAGCTCCTAAGCATGTTTTCTCCCAGTGACATCAGATTAAAATTAAGATCAGAACTTGAAATGACAAGGACAGTTAGGAACATTATCTGTGGAGGGGAAGAGGCAGTGGCTCTCACTTACCTTGACTATCAGGAATCTGAGAAGGGAAAGAAATTTCATGGGCCATTTGGCCCTTCCTTTGTCTACTTTCTAGACATGTTTCTCTGAAAAAGGCGCAGAGCTCTCCACCAATGCCGGTGCAAACTTATGCCCTTGCTCCTCACTAGGGTGGGTGAGGAATGGAGAAGTGGGCAAGTTGGAGGCAGTCCTCCCGTGTGCCTCCCAAAAGGTAGTCTGCAAATGTGGGCAAGACAGGAACAAACCATCGCTGCAGGGTGAAAAGCTACAGCAAGGTCACTGTGGAATTTACTTCCATCAGTGAGAATTCAAGGTGGAAGATTCTTGGCTAATATGGAAGAGGGTACACCGTGATGAACGCCATGATGGGACTGGATGAGGTGGCCAATGGGAAAGCTAAATCTGACAGAATTTGTCCCAAATGGGGCAAAACCATAACGAAAGCTTGTTACAGTGAATCTATTCTACACCTGGGTCTAATGACAAGAAATGCTAAGAACTCCTTAGGCCCGATTTTCTGGCCAGATGAAGACCATGACTTTACCATGGTCCTGGCCTCTGTCCATCATAACACTGTGCGAAGGAGGATTGTGCTGATCGCTTGGATTAAACGTGTAGAAGGAACAGCTCCAGAACAATTCTCCTTCGGACCAGTAGATGAAACCCGAGAAGTACCACAGTACCTCCAGTTTCAAAAGAGATCATAATGTCCGCTTCTCCTGCGTTTACTCTGACGAAGTTCAGAGGGACGGCGCTACTCCAGGCCCGCAAGGCCATCTCCATGGCTTTGTCCACCTCGGCAGCACTCATGGATGGCGTGTATTTGGATATTCTGTGAAAATGAAAGGAACATGTTTTCCTTTCAGTAAATGCTCCTAAGTGAAGAAGGCAAGAATTATGTTATAGATTGTATTAAAAGCAAAAATGTTGAACATAAATCAATTTAGATTTATTTCTCTGAAATGATAATTTTTATTTTGCTTTTGTGTATGTTAAATTGCTACATATTAAACAACAAGACAAAGGGGAGAAATGAGAGACAGTTGAGATAATCTAGTACTGAAACAGTTTGGCTTCCATTGTTACTATGCTACCACTGATGTTAAAGAATAACGGTTGTGTAACATCATAACTTGTAAAAAAAAATCCATTTTCTGTAAAGTGGTTTTAATGGAGAGGGGACCTCTTTTTCCCCCGAAGGGAATGAAAGTTTTCAATTATAAGAAATATAAATGTGGAGTTTTGAGGTTTTGCAAATTCTCATTCAAAGGCCTTCAGGATTTCCCCAGGGCTGTTGGGGAATGTTTTTTCAGAAAATAATGCATTCTTAAAGAGGAAGGGCTAACTTTAAAAAAGGATGCTCACTGGACTGAAAAAGTGTTGAGCCTTCAGCAAGTCCTGGTGTGACAACGACATCTGACAGCAGAGACATGTAGCGCTTTTTTGACAAACTGAAGACAGAGTTGGGGATTCTCAAGAACTTTCCCTGCTCTGGAGCGCAGGGGCTGGGGTCTCTGGCAGCGTGCAAAGGAAAGGCGGGGGAGAGCAACTTCTACCTGGGACCTGGGGCTGGGCTGGGATGATGGATGCAAAGTGAGAAGCCGGGTCTGTGGGAGCCAACCTTGGGAGCAGGAACTGAGTCTACTTTCTCTGTTTCTCCAGCTCCTAGTCTAGTGCCTTGCACGTAGTAGATGCTCAGCAAATGCTTAATGATGGATGAATTAAAGACTAAAAGCTAGCTGTTATAGGGCCTACTCAGTCGCTCTCAAACTGTAGGACCCGTGGTAACTCCCTAGGAAGATTGTTAAATACAGAGGCGTGGTCCAGAAATCTGTGTTTTAACAAATATCCTAGGTTATTCCAATGCAAGAGGTGCAACTGCAACCAGGAACCAGCAGCAGTAATCATGGGGTCCCAAAAGGAAGGACTGTGTCCCACAGAGAAGACAGTAAATTCAGGACTCGAGAGGAAAGGACCAAGGAACCCTATAACCCCAGAGGTTGGGACCAAGAGAAGGGAGCTGTAGAGTTGAAGGGGGAAACCAGAAAGACCCGTAAAGGAACTATTAAATGCTTTCAAAATATGCCAAGCCCACTGCATAATGTTAATCTGTGATTTATCACAAGTCTGGATAGTTAGTACCTTGAAATTCCCTCCCCTTATCAATATGTCAGGTGGATCTTTGAGCTCACTATGTGTGTTGGGCTGGAGAAAACAAGAATGGAGAAAGGGACAGCACCAGAAAAGAAGGGAATGTGGAGGAAATCCTGCCCCAGGGTGTAGGGACTGATAACGCAATAGTAATAATAGCTAATATTTCTTGAAGAGCAACTATGTGCCAGGCATTGTTCTAAGCACTGTTTAATGTGGTATATTATCCAATCCTCAGTCCAACTCATGAAAGGAAGGTAATAATCATAATAATCATTTACATTTTATGATTAGTCGGGCTTTGAGCCCAGTTCTGTCTGACTCCAAAGCTTATGCACATAAGCACTCTGCTGTAGTTTTTCTTCTTTAATCCTCTGGGTTATAAGAAGTTCTTCTGAAATTCACTAGCTACACAGACAGACTGCTAAGATAGCCTCTAGTGTCTTTCTGGGGCAGCTCTTTGGGAGCAAGTATGAACAGCGATGTGAGTGTGTTGAGGGGGTTTGGGGCTGCCCGGCTCCATCACAGGATATTAGACTTCCCCGCGTCTCACATCATCTGGATCCCTGCCCCTCGTCTGTACCGCACCTAGTCACACACTGACACAGGGCACACTTTATTTTAAGAAAACTGTGAAAAAACTCCATGAATTTATACACATTTTTCTTATCTTACTCTTACTACCTCCTAATCACTCGTGTGTTCTGCTCTGCATGGGGTTTTTCGACGCCCATTGCTTTGATTTTTTTGTTCGGAGCGCCACCTTATGGGTTTATAGGTTCACAGCAGGTGACAAGTGGCCTAGCGGAATCATCTGACCACGCGCTGTGTGCAGGCTCTCATTTGATCGAACGGACTCTGGTGTCCTGGAACAGTTCAACAAGTGGTGCTACAAGGGGAGAGAAAAACCTTCCTGATTTGCATGGCTTGCTGGTTTCTGTGTTGTAAATCTCTCACCATGGCTGATTTCAAGCTACCAATTTGCCATCACTGGATTTGAGGTTGGGAAGACGTGAGCAGGTAGTGTACCATTGCAGTGTTTCCACCGTGCAGATAAAACAGATGTAAACAGCCTCGTGACCATGGTTAATAATAAAATGAAGTAAAATGGAAAGCGATGTTTCAATTACCATTGTTTTTAAATATAATTTATTTAATTATAAATTTACATTATTTAATAATGGCTATCTTAGCAACCAGTTCATAAAATTCTTGGAGACTTAACAACTGGCTGCAAAATTCTCGACACTTTAAAGATTGGCTGCTGTGAGCTGGTAGGAGCCAGCTCCAGCACACCATAGCTTGGGCTAGTGCAGCCTTCGCCCTTCTCCAGATAGTGTCTAGATGTGCTCATCATGAAAATGCAACTTGATCCTGCTCCCAGCCCGGCTCTCCACTGCCCTGGGGAGAAAGTCCAAACTCCTCAACAGCACGTTCTAGCTGCCCTGCAGCTGCGTCTCCAGCCTCATTTCCTGCCATTCCCCTTCCTGCACCCTCTACTCCAGCCGCCCGCACGAGGCTCTAGTGGCCGGCATGCTGCTCAACACCCCCGCAGGTCCACTCCCTGTTGCTATTTGCTTGATCTGCTTTTCTACTTGGAAAATCCCTAACATTTGCAAAGCCTGGGGCAAGGCCACAAAGGGAGGCCACTCTTTCTTTCCAGCCTGCATCCATCTGGCACGTGTGACGTCCACACAGGTAGGCACAGTCCACGCCTCCAGTGCCACCCTCAGGCCGAGGGGCAGCCATCAAGCATGGTCTGCCCTCAGTTGGACCAACCTGGGGAAGAGGACTGCACTGGCCCCAAAATAGGTCCACACCACTGGGGCAGGGAATTCTGGCCTTGGTACCCAGAGCACAGGGGGGAAGGACAAAGGTTCCCCTGGGTGTGTCCCCTTGGTCTATACAGGATGAGGACAGAGGATGAGGGGAGGGAAGACTGCAGGGAGAGGCTGGGGGCGGGCAGCCTGGAGCTAAGGGTGGAACTGCTTCTGTTTTGCTTTAAATCAGGCTCAGATGTCACTGCCTGGTCCCTGGGCCACTTGGTAACTCTCTCTGCTTAGACCTGTGGTTTCCCACTTCTCACACAGAGCTGCAGCTATGTGTTGGCATGTCTGTCTCCCTCAAAGGACCGTGAGTTCCCTAAGGTCAGGAAAGGTGATCTATTCACCTTTATATCCCCCAAATTGAATACAAGTATTGATGGTAAATAAATAATCAATAAATGATTTTTGGAATCAATGAAATTAATTTATTGATAGGCGAGTTTTATCTTTCTTATTCAGTGGATTGTTTTAACAAAATTGGTTTTTACTGTCAGGTCATTAATCCTAGATTAAATTACATCTCTTTAAAGATCAATGTGTTGTTTCTAATGGGTAAAATTGTCTGTAATGCCTCAGAAGGCCAGTCATTACCATACTCCCGAGATCATAGTGAATTGGCCATTGTCATCGCCTAATGGTTGCACCTGAGAAATTCTTATTCTTTCCTATGGTTGTTAGGAGCCAGAATTTTTATACAGATCAGAAGGAAGATATTTTTAAAAGAAAAGTAAAAAAGAGGGCAGGGGTGTTTCTCTCTGAATTTGGAAAGACTCGATCTCATTACCTGTATGTCAAAGTATTTTTTTTCCATTTGGGTTCACCTGGGAAGAGGCGATAGTTTGCCACGTCGGGAACCCCGCAGCGCGGCCTCTTGATCACGTCCATTGTGGTCGGGTCTAACTTCCCGGTGACTTGGAGGCCAAAGAAGGCCTGCAGCTCCTTAATCTTCTTTACCATGGAATTGCCTCTTCTTGCAACCATCTCACCAATCTGGTGTCCTCCTTTCTTTGTGTAATACTTGTCAAGATATGCCTGAAACGGAGAGGCAGGCTGATGCGTCTACCACGTGGTCTGGGAAATACTCATGCTCAAGTAAGGCAGGGAACGTTATTCTTGATGTATTAAAAAAAGTGTGTAGAATATATTGCCATGTTTTGAAAAAAAAAAAGAGACAGATTTGCATAGAAAAAGCTTAGATATAGCCCAAATTATTAACTGATTATTTTGGGGTAGTGGGGAATTTAGATCATTTAATACTTTTCTTTTGTCCACCTGCATTTTACCATTTTTCTACAATGAGTACAATGAATATACATTTTTGCTTTAATTTTTTTTAAAGAAAAAATTATGGAAAGAAACTAATATGAACTTTTTTTCATGGATCAATTATTTTACTCAATTGGCAAGACAAAAGCTATCTGGTTACTTCGGTAAACAGTTATTGGCATCATATTTTCATTATGCATAATGTAAGATCAGTATGTTTTTAACTCTCAGAGGCATTGTACTCCAGCCTCTCATCCTTTACAAAGGTAGAGGGTCAATGTACTTTTCAGCTGAGGCCTTTAATCAGTTCAGGTGTGTTCAGTATGTGCGGTGGAATTTGCTTCTATGGGCAGGTTTCCTAGGTCAGGCTCTTTGGCCCTTGAAGCAAGTAAAATGAACCGTAAATTATAAGGCTTATCATTTGCACATAAACATTCAAGACCCCTTAGTATATATTGTTCAAAACACTTTTCTATGACTCAGGGCTAGGATTAGGGTAAAATGAGTCAGAGTTGTGTAAATACGAGGTTGAGGCCTCAAATTGGCCCACAAATTTCACCTATCTAACTTATTTCAGGAAAATAATCAAAGAGCAGCTATAGATTTATAAATACAATATCCTTGGTATCGGCGGGATTGGTTCCAGGACCCCCATGGGTTCCAAAATCCACAGATACTCACGTCCCTGATATAAAATGGCACAGTATTTGTATATAAACGATGCACATCCTCCTGTATATTTTAAATCATCTCTAGATTATTTATAATACGTAATGCACTGTAAATGCTATGTAAATAGTTGTTATACTGTATTGTTTGGGGGCAAATGGCAAGAAAAAAGTCTGTACATGTTCAATATAACACAACCATCTATTTTTTTCCCCTAATTTTTTTGAATCACAGTTGGTCGAATCCAGCTGGATATGGAGCTCATGGATATGGAGAGCTGGCTATATTTAATTGTATATAACTTGTTT